CCCTCCCCTCCCCCCCCCACCAGGGCAATTACGACAACTTTGAGAAGTCGATGAGGGAGCGGCACAAGAACGCGCGGGCGGCGGCAGAGGCTCAGGACATGAAGCGCAAGCACATGCAGGCAGGGCAGGGGGGGGCGGGGCTTGTGGCTGTGGCCTGGCTCAACATACATGGCTGTATGGTGCATACCGTTGTTGGAGCTGGGAGTGGTGCCGGCTGGCGGCTGGGCCTCAAGACAGATGCAGGCAGGCCGGAGGCGGTCCACCAGCCAGCAGCGTGGCGCGATCTCGGCCAACTTTCTTTCCTTCCCTCCCTCCCCTCCTGCCCTCCCCGTCCCTGCCCCCTGCAGGCCTTCATCGACAAGTTCCGATACAACGCCAACCGGGCAGCGCTGGTGCAGTCGCGCATCAAGGCGCTGGAGAGGCTGGCGGGTGAGGGGGGGGCTCTGGCGGTGTGCTGTGCTGTGCTGTGTGTGTGTGTGTGTGTGTGGCGGCATGTGTGTGCCTGTGGTTGTGTGGGAAGGGGGACCAGGCTGAGAGGGCTGGGCAGACCCGGCGTCGCCGCAGCCAGCCCTGTCTCACCCAGCCGGTCCCTCTTTCGCGACACCTGCGCCCAGCACCCTCCCTCCCCCTCCTCCCTCCCTCACACCTGCCCCCTGCGCAGATGTGGAGGTGGTGGAGCAAGACCCCGCCTACATCTTCCGCTTCCCCACGCCGCCAGACGTCGGTGAGCCTCGCCCGCCCGCACGCGTGACCTCTGAGCCGGCGCCAGGCCGCGCGCGCGGTGCCGCCGCCGCTGGCCTCCCGCGCGCACGCGTGTGCCTGCCACGCATCATCCCACCAGCCCGCGCCGGCCCTCGCCCCACCCCACCCCGCCTGCCTCCGCTGCCGCAGCGTCTCCCCCCATCCTGGGCTTCACCGACGTCGACTTTGGCTACCCGGGTGGCCCCACGCTGTTCCGAGACCTCAACTTTGGGTGAGCGCCTGCAGGCGCACGCTTGGTGGCGGCCCGGGGGCAGGGCCGAGGCCGCTGAGCGCTGCCGCGCGGCGGGCGGCGCAGGCGCGCAACCGCGCACATTCCCGGCCTTGATCGACGCTGCCCTTTTGGCGTCGATCAGCCCTGTGCGTCACCGCGCCACCCACCACGCTGGCCCGCCCCGGCCCACCCCCGCCCACCCCC